TCGACGATTACGTGCGAGTTTTCCTATCCCCATTGGCGGCAGTTTTGTTTGTTAACATAGCCGTCGAGATGAAAATGCGCTTCGTCAGAAAAGATGATTTTTACAATATTTTACAAAACATTTGATCGGTTCACAACGGTGTCGCAAGTGTCGTTTTGTTGTCTGTCGTAAAGCTTAACTAAATGTTTAGAGAACTTGAAACCAACTATTTTTTACCACTATTTTTTAACACTGCGAAAATTCATAATATGACATTGATTGTACTTTGCGAACACCCTTAATATATTTTTTAGGCGTTTAAAGTTTACGACATACAACAATACCACACTTACGACACCGTTGTGAATACCCCAATTGCCTTTGGAGACACAGTGAAAGAAGTTTTAAAATCAGTTGCACGTTGCCCAACTTTTTTAAAAAGTTAGTTAGGTTAAAGTTAGTTTTCTTGGAGAAAAATAGTTTTATTTTTTCAAAAAACATTATGTTAAGGGCGATCCATACAATTTTTTTAATCATATATTTTTTGACAGTGACAGCTCTTCTCCGCAAATCATAACTTTAATCTTAGTCCTAATCTTAATCGTAATCTGCATAAATCCTAACTTTATCTTAATCTTATTTTTAATATTAATTTTAGTCTTAATCTTAATCAGAATCCTAATCTTAATCTTAGCCTTGACCTTAATGTTAATTTTAATTGCAATCTTTTTATTAATCTTGATCTTAATATGAATCTGAATCTTAAACTTAATATTAATCATTACCTGAATTTTAATCTAAATCTTGATTTTTATCTTAATCCTAATCTTGATCTCAATATTAATAACAATCTTAGTCTTAATCTTTTCCGAATCCTAATCCCAGTCTTGAACTTTGTCTTAATCTGATCTTAATTTTAATCTAAATTTTTATCTTAATCGTAATCATAATCTTAATCTTAATCTTAATCTTAATCTTTGCTTTGATCTTAATCTCAAAATGAATCTAATCATAATCTGAATTTTAATCTTAACCTTAATCATAATCTTAACCTTAGCCATAATTTTAAACTTAATTTAAATCTTAATCTTAGTTTAAATCTTAATCATAGTTTTAACCTTAATTTTAATTTTGATCTAAATATTGCCCTGAAGCATAGTCTTAATCTTAAACTTAATCTTAATCATAATCTAACTTTTAATCTTGATCTTAATCATAATCTCAATTTAACCTTAATCTTATCTTAATGCTAATCTCAATGTTAGTCTTAGTCTTAATCTTGAACTTAATTATGATCTAAATCATAATCCTACCCTTAGTCTTAATCTTTGTTTTGGTCCCATTCTTAAACTTAATCTAATCATAATTGGAATTTTAATCTTAATCTTAATCATAATATTAATCTTAATCTTAATTTTTAACTTAATTTAAATCTTAAATAATCTTAATCTTAATTATAATTTTAATCTTAATTTAATCTTCTCTTCTTGATCGTCTTAATCTTAAACTTAATCTTAATCATAATCTGAATTTTAGTCTTAATCTTAATGGTGTCCAACCACCCTCGCCATCCCCTCTCTTCTTCTTTTCCGTTTCATGGGAGTTTGGATTTAGAACCCAATGACCGTGTCGCTTTTTGTTACATTGATGTTTGCATTTACACCATAGATGGGCACACCAATACAGTCTCATTTTGTCATGGTATTCGTGAATCGCGCTTAGTAACAGTTGCCACTTTTCTATATTGTACAAAAGTGCGTCTTTTTTTGCGCGTGTTAGAAAACGCTCTTACAAATTTATATTTAATTTGTCTTATGAACATGAAACGAAAATAACAAAATATAATAAAAAAATAATGAATAAATATATACAAATAATGAATTATGAAATTAATTTTTATAAGTACATATGTACGTGCATGAAAAGTTTTTTAATTTAATTTCATTAAACTAATGTTTTAAAAAATCATAGTTTATTCAACAACAAAATTCACAAAGTTGCTCGCGGTCATCACCTTCATATTTTTCATATTCCGGATGGAATGACAAATAATGTCGCCTTATATTAAAAGTACGATTCCAAGTAGTCGTATTACCACATAACAAGCATTGGGCATTATTAGCTTTTTTTAAAACCAAAATCTGTAATTGGCACTCATTCTCAGACATTTTGGGCATTGTTACATATATAGGTGGCAACCACGCGCTAAAATTACGAATAAAAATATTCAACGGCGAAGCATAGTGTTACTCTCATGAAATCTGAAAGCAGACTGAATTGAAATTCGCTGCGTCGTTTCTGTATACGTATAAAGCTGATGCCAGATAAAACTTTGTAGCTTTGCGTGACATTTATAACTTTGCCAGCAAAGCGCCAGAAGCAAAAGGTATGCCACAATGAACGCCAAGAAAACAATGTTGTACCGCTTTTTTACTCATCAAAGTTGCTGTGGATTTTAATTATTTTGATTTAAAATTATCAGCAATGTAATTAAGTTTTATGTTTCTGCATGAAAACCCGAATTTGGACGAAACAAAATAAATATTAAACCGGCTGATTGTCAAAGCGCGCAAAAAGATGGGAGTTGACCATCTTTTCGCTTCGCGCTGCCGCTTCAACGATTTATGTGGCATGCTTTGTGCATTTTCATACAATGCATCTTATCTGTCAAAGCGAATCTGTCACGTAAAGCGAAGCAAAAGTTTTATGTGACATCAGCTTAAGCGCTGCGACGCAGACGCTACTCGCGAGTAGCGTTTTGCCCATCATTGATTTACACCCAAATGAGCGCAGAGAAGTTCCACTTGAAAAATTGTGATGAATTGGCGCAAATTCCTACCAGGCATCGACTAAAGTTTACATTTATATACTAGCGTTGGGTTATGTTAAGTTGAGGTCAAAAAATAACTCCTCTCATGAGGAAGAAAACATGTTGACCACCTTTGTTTTCAAGATGGCTGGTTACCCACAGCCCATGAGTACCGGAAATCAAGCTTTGCATTCCTTTCGACTAGCAAAAATAAGCTTTAGTTTACCAATTTTAGCCCCTTATTTGACTCTACTACATTCATTAATTATGACCCGTGAATTGACAGCCCTACCAGCGCTTATGTACATGTACTTCGTCCATATGATTCCACATAATTGGCCTAACACGATGTTCAAACTACCCGCACACACTGTTTTGCCAGAGATTCTACTATCGAGAGCTTCGGTTTGATTAATTCGGAAAGCTGATTCGATCGCCTTCGTACCACAATTGGCCAGTAGGGTCTTGCAACTTTGTCTAATAATGTTCTTCAACCGCGTTCGCTTAGCTGATTTGCCAACCATGCCTGTATTTCAAAGCGCAGACTTAAGATCGCCCTATTGCCCGTACATGAAAATGCTCATCAGAACAGGTCTTTAGGTCCTACATTTTCCTGCAGTTTCACTATACCCATAAAAACTACTTCTAAGTACACCTAATCAATTCTATATTAGGTGAAAAATGCTCGTATATTTATTTCTTCAAGAAAATTTACTGCAAAAGCAACGTACTTTTTCAAGCAACAGAAATAATGAAAAATGTTTCTTCAAATATTTCTTGAAGGGACCGAACATAACAGTTATTGTCGAAAACTGTCATGGAAAAATTAACTATGAAGGAAATGATCTACAACTAAGTGATACATACCAATCGATTTCTTTTTTCACCAAGATTCAAATTTGAAATCAATTTTTATTTGCAATATTATAAATCCAAAATAACAATTATTTTTTGTTTATATATTATATGTATTAGATAACAGTTATTGAAGACTTTTATTTATAATAGTCATCAATAAAAATCAGCCAGTGACTTTTACTTTTAAAAGTTATCAATATAAATCAGTCACCGACTTTTATTTTTTGAATCATTCGTATAAAAGTCATTAACATTGTTTGTGGTTAAGAAGGCATTGAGAAAAAAAAGTTTACTACGACTTATAAAAATGACTTTTATAAGTATGATTTAAAAAATTAAGGTCAGTGACTGATTTTTATTTATGACTTATATAAATAAAAGTCTTCGATAACTGTTATCTTAGACATCTACTAATCAAAAATGACTGTTATTTGCAATTATTTAGATAAAACTAAAAATAATTGTTGTTTTGGATTTATGAAAAAAAAGTCAGAAATAGCGGTTATTTAAGGAGCAATTAAATAAAAGTCAAAAAATAATTGTTAATGAGCGATTTTTTCAATAAAAGTTGTAACTGTTACGGTCCCTGATTTCTTGAGAGCTGTATATTAAGCTTAATCATCGAAGAAAATAGAAAGTTTCCAAATAATGATCTTCATGCGAGAAAAAATTCAAATAACAGTTAATTTCGGTCCTTGGTTAAAATGAGCAAATACTTTTTTCACATAAAATTTTTTTGGATTTTAGGAAAGATTTTTTGGAAAATAGAACGCGCTATCATTATTATTTTTTAAATTGAATGTTAAGCCAGATCGCCTTTCAAAAATAATGGATTTTACGTTGTAAAACCTTACATAAGCACATATATATACATACACACACAAAGCTATAAAATATCATAATGTATAATAATAATAATATAAAAATATATGTGTATTAGGTTGGACGAAAAAAAAATTACAATGTTAAACTCTCACAGCCAAGGCTTTTTCTAAATGGAAAAAAGAGTGCAATGAGGGCACCCATAAAAAATTGTTATTATTAAAAATGGTAAAATAAACAATTGGGTATTATTATCGGAAGAGTCCCGAAGAGAAACAGTGTTTTCCGATCGAAACATTATTGATTTTCGAGAATTATATAATATTTTTACGAAAAAGTTATTTTCCTCATATAAAATACATATAAAACTTAATGGGCTTTGAGGCAATTCTAAATATAATTTTTTTTTACAAAAGATACGGGTGTTCTTTTTTCCATTTATGCAAGTATATTTTGACCACTCTAATGAATGAATTTCTCTACGTTTTTTATAAACATTTAATTGTCATGATTTCTCTTTGTAATTCAACAGATATTACCTTCAAAGTGGGTTACATTGCCGACGATCCTAACTCGTACACGGAAACACTGCCATTGAACAGACCTAACGACGAAGCGCAGAAGCTGGAGAGGAATAGAGATCAATAGGATTGTGCTCGTACTCAAAGCTATCCAAAACTTTAGAAAACTATCAGAACTTTTGTGTTCTAAATAGTACCCAAGGAACTTGCAAAGTAGGGGAAATTGAGAGGGCAAATTGTCATTGAGAGCTGCAAACTTCTGCTGGAAAAATTTTTACTTGAGAGCTGCAAAATTTCTTGCGAAAACTTGCAAGTAGGAAAACCAGCTGATCACAAACATACGTTCGCGAAAACAAACAAAAGGAAATATGGGCTTTGTGAATTATTTATTGAAAATTTTATAAATTTTATAGTAAGGTACAACATCTTTTAGTTTTCCAATTTTCTTATTTTAGTGTGTATTTAATGGTTGCCCTATGGAATTTTTTGTACCATATTTTTAGCTAAAATACACAAAAATAGGTAAAAGTGCAGCTAGCTGAAATTTGTTTGGCCGAGTTTGTCACTTTTTAGTAGATTGATTGTTGGAATGGAAATTTTATAATATTAAAGGTAAAATTGTTGCTACATATAACAAGGACGGGTGCTTGGTTGAGATTCTCTTATTTTTGAGGGCATCGTGATGTGGTATCACAAGCAATTTTGAGAAAAATAACTTATTAATTCCCATATAATTCATTTACGTGTTAAAAATGTTTTTCCTATCCAAAAGTATTCAATTGTAAAAAATAAGAAAATAAATGGCCAAATGGCAACAGGGGAAGTGATCAGCTCTTTTGAATTTTGCTCTCTCGCACTTCTGTGGATATTTTTTCTCTTTGAGATCGAATGCTGGTAAATTCTCAGAATTATCGCTGCTGCATAATTTGGTCTGGAGTTTGCGAGTTACACACCTAATGTTGAAATTGCATTGATTCACATTTATTAACTAAAAAATTCGTAGTATGCTAAATACGTTTTCAACAGCAGAACATAAATATATGCGATAAAAAAAATATGCCGCTTTTAATAAAAATAAAAAAAATAAATAAACATTTTAATAAATTTATAAAGACGCTTTGCTTCAAACAGTATACATATATTTAATACAAAGAAATGCCTTCAAACAGAATTATAAAGATTTGGCATTCATAAAGACACTAAACAATAAATGTACGGCAGTTGTGTACAACAGCGAATAATATTTGTGATTAAAGTTTATTATTAATTCAAATTTGTAAGTGCTTTTAAGAACACTAAGTGATTCCAGCCATTAATTATAAGATAGTTATGTATTTAAATCATTAACTATAGTTTTTAGTAATACTTTTTTGTAACCGTTATGAATCATGAAATATAAACATATTTGTTTAGGATATAATTAATTTATAATTTGTAATAATGTAAATGTAAAATTATAAACTCCTTATAATTTCTTACTTACTTAAAATATCTGTGTGTATTACTAACCATATACATTAAAAGAAAGCCAAAGAACCAAAGCTGTAATTTAAAATTAATATTCTCTTTATCCAGTAACTAAAATTAAAAAAATAAACTTTCATAGCCCATAATTCATTAATTTCATATTTTCTTTTAGCATGCTCAACTTTTATACGTGTAACTATTTGTATATTTGCTACATATGTATATGCATATGCCCATATGTATGTGTGTATGTACATATGTATGTACTCGTAATTTTTTCAACAAATTTGTAATCAGTGTTGCCAGAACTTTTTGGGCCGACCGGCTAGATTGGCAAAAAAAAGCGGCTAAAAACGGCTAAAATGTTTTAGTGAAATTTCACATAGACTCTGGCAAAAAACGGCTAAAATATTTTAGTGCAAATTCACATGCTTTATTTAAATAAATCGCAAGAAACGAAAGACTAGTTAACACCATTAATTCATATCGAGTGTATATTCCTCATCATCAAATGAATCACTATTGTATATATCACCTGAATTCATTAATTTTAAGAGATCGTCATCTACAGTAAAACTATGGCAGCATTTTTCTTCACGTTTTAAACCATATCTTATATATAAAATAGCGTTTAACGTTTTAACGCACATATTCGCTCTACTTATAGGCAAAACAAGAAAACTAAAAACTAGGTTGGAAAGGTCAGCAAAAGGGTTTTCTCCTAGGGCATTTCGAAATTGATAAACTTCGGCCCAAAATTTTACAGTTGAGTCTAAATTACTCCAGGTATGTAACGTTAACCGTTGCCATTACATCTCTATGGATGTTATTTCGTCGGCATTATATTTGTGTTTTTGTTGCTGTAGTTGAACAAATACTTTTGGTTTAATTACTCTTAATGCATTTCCAACCGAAAAAAGTCAATTTTTTTTAGTGTGGCAATATTTGTAGGGAGGCGTTGGCGTAATTTCTTTATTATTAAAGTAATAACGGGTGATTTTTTTGAGGTTAGGATTTTCATGCATTAGTATTT